CTACCAGGGTCTCCCCTCACTTTCCAAATTCCAGTCACACAGTGTTCTTTCTGCACCTCAAACTTTCCAAGCTTGTCCTCACCCAACTCTTTTTGCTGTTCTCTCAACCAACAATGCATCCTTCCCAGATCTTTGTACATCAGCGTTAGATTATTCAATAAACAAGATAAGTTTAGGCTTACTTGTGCTTATTTACCAATCTTTCCACCATATAAAAGATTCTGCCTCTAGGTACGGTTGGCAGGTGTCTGTCTTGGAACCTACATCACCTCCGTAGAGAATCAAAGCCTCTTTTCAAATTTACAAGCCCTGATAGGGACAGAGTATTGTACTTCGTAATCAAGGTAAACGCCAAACCAAACTCACTGCCCTTGAACTGATGCTAACTCATGGTGAGCCCTAGTGGTTTACATATTGGGCTCCTAAACAGAATTGACAGAAAACCATCAGTCTATCCGAAGGAGAAAGACAAGGCTTTCTACTTCCATAAAAAGGTACAGTCGTGGAAACTCACAGCAGGCAGTTCTACCTTGCCCTAGAGGGTTGCCATGAGTCAGCATCCCCAAGGTAAACACAGGGTTATCTAAAAAGCAAATCTCAGATCAAATGTTTCCTCCACAGCAAGGCTTTGGTCAACCCATCTAAATCACCTTCTTACCCTTGTTTTCTGATTACACGGCTCATCTGTCTCCTTCAGAGTGCTAACCACAATAGGACACTGCCTTGTTGTTTGTTGCCTGACTCTTGGGGTGCAAACTCCATGACCAATGTCTATAGGTTAGTCCCTCCATGGGGGGTTGTCTGTTGGTATCAGGCTGGGAGCTGGGGACACCAGTATTGAAAATACCAGCCATGTCACCTGTGGTAGGCAGGTTTCAGCAGAGCTCTTGCAGCGAAACAGACTATGAAGGAAGGCAGGGTGATGGACCGCAGAGAATTAGCCAGTGAAAACCCTGTGGATCAGCAGTACATTGTCTGACGACACAGCGCTGGACGAGAAGATTGTGAACGGAGATGGCCAAGGATCAGGAAGCAGCTTGTTCCTGGTGCACGGGGGTGCCAGGAGTTGGAGCAGAGAGGATGAAAACTAGCAGAAAGTTCGTGAGAGCAGAGGCCTTGTTACCTGCTACAGCCCAGTGCTTAAAATAGTGCCTGGCACAGAGCAGGGAAGCAAGTCAGGTTTCAAAGCCTCTTCCCACTGCCCTTCTAGGATGCCTATTGATTTTTCCTGCTGGTTCCCTTCAGCTTTTACTACATTTGACCTACTTTTTCAGCTACATTAAAAAGTGTGTGGTCAGGGATGCCATCTATAAGCATTTAGCACAAAGAAAACAATTAGCTTGCTATTTGGAAACGTAAACAAAGGCCCATTAATTAGCTTGTGGATGGACGCCTGTCCCTTGCCTCTCCGGTTCTGAGCAGGTCACCATCCCTTCCAGGTTGGTCCCTGTTCCGTCAGCTTGACGCTGTGAAGGTCTTGCTATCAAATCCAAAACTCACCTGGCTCAGAAGCTCAGTCTCGCTTGTCCATCCAATCCAACTGACACGGCTACATGGGCCTGGAAACGTTTGGGGTTAGTTTCGAGCTAAAACCCTCACTGGATCCAAGATAGGATGGCCCAAGGTGCAATGGTGTGGCCAGGAACCGTTGGCTGAGTCCAGAAAGCCCGAGCTGGGCCCTTCCTTAGATGTGATTTAACGGACTTCTTCCATGAAGCCAAAGACAACCGGGCCACCAGGCAGCTGAGTGGCTAGAAGCTGGAGGAAATTCGTCCCCGGCTGTCCCCCGGCCTCCGGGGAGCATTTCACGGGGCCATTTTCACGTTCTGGCGGCTCGCGGGCTTGTCCCTGCGGCCTGGGCTCTCCGTGCGGTGCAGCGATGTCTCCACGTGCAGAGTCGAGGTCCGCACGTGGCGGGAGGCCGTTTCCGCGCGCTCCGAGGAGGTTTCCACGTGCCGGGAGGTCACCTCGAGGACGCGGGGGAGCCGTTTCCCGGAGGGGGTCACGGAGGGCCCCTCGCTGCGGCGCTGGGAGGTCTCCACTTGCTGCGAAGACGATCGCACCTGCACAGAGGATGTCTCCACGCGGTGAGACGATGTCTCCACGCGGACCGTCGAAGTCTCTTTACAGCGGGTCGTTTCCCCTCGGGGCGAAGAGCACTTTCCCCGACGGGGTGAGGCCATTCTGGAGCGGTGTCGACAGCCAATGAGGCCTCGAGGTGACTTCAGCCACCCTCGATCAGGACTTTGGGTTACGACGCAGGGTCAGGAGTTACGTCATAATGTCCTATTACGTCATCGCAGGCGGACACAGGCGAGCGAGCCAGGACCCCAGGACAAGGGTCATAGAAGGTAACGTGAGGGCTGAAAGCTCCTCCCCTTCAGCGCTCGCCTCCGGCCGCCGCAGCAGGCGGGCTCGGGCTTGGCTCTAGCACCACCCCTCTCCAATCGAGAGCTTGCGAGGGCGGGGCCAGCGCTGGGTGGGCGGGGCTGGGAGTGAGGCTCGGCCCACCCCCGTGCATCCCAGCCTGCACCGGGACGGGAAGGCGAAGCTGTGACTTCCGGAGTCTTCCCAGCCGTTCCTGGCTGTTGGTGGTGGCGTTTCAGTGTCTCGTCCTGGTTATGGCCGCTGCTGTCGCCATGGAGACAGGCAAGTAGCGTTCCGAGCCTCGAATCTTTGCAAACAGCACTCTTCTCGGCCCAGACACCATCTCCTGCTTCCCCTTGGGCTCCTTTCAGGCTTAACATCCGGCCGGTTAGAGTTCGGACCAGGAAGGGGACCCCGGTGGTTCTTGTAGTGTCCGGAAAGGTTCGTTCGTTCTCCAATATTTTCAGCACGCTTGCTACTCCGATAGTGAGCCCGTAGGCTCACCGGCGTAGGTGAGAATAAAGGAGACGAACCGACTCATAATCCGTCTTGATTAGTTTCTGTGTTTTAAATAAACTTGCACAAATTTGAAATAATGACAAATTGTCATTCTCCTATTATTGAAACTAACCACATGTACACTTACTTCATGATCTTTCACACTTTCCTTAGCCTCTTTTTGGGTTTTCTTCTTGAACTAGCACGCACTGAGCATTAATTAAGCCTTAGTTACTAAGGAGTCCTGGTGGCTCCGTTGGGTTGCTCCCCACGAGGTTAGCAGTTCAAATCCACCAGGTGCTACTCAGGAGAAAGATAAGACTGCCTCCTCCTGTGAAGATCTACAGTCTGAAGACCCTAGGGAGCAGTTCTACTCTGTTTTTACACCGCGCTCTGAGTTGGAATCTACTCAAAGGCAGTAGATTTAGTAGGCCTGGTTTTATTGATTATTGATTGATTGGTGGGAGGTATTGCTTTCTAGCTTGATCTAGTCACTTAACAGTTGTTACTGTGCATTAAGATAGGGTTAGGCACAGTTACTTAACCTACTTAGAACCCACTTAAGCGATTACTGCTAAAACTTCCTACACAGTGGCCCCTAGGTGGCAGGTACCCTGTCCTGTGTGTGCCTGTTTTCTTGGACGATTTCTCTTGCACGTAGAAACTCAGGCTCACTTAGCCAAGGGTCGATTCTGATTCTGACTCAAGCTGCCTTCTAGGACAGGGTAGACTGCCCCTGTGGGTTTCTGAGGCTGTAACTCTTTATAGGAATCGAAAGCCTTAGCTTTCTCCAGCTGGTAGTTTCGAACGACTGATTTTGGCAGTAGTTCGAAAAACATAAACCACTTGCCATCGTATCAACTCTGATGGCAATCCCATGTGCTTATCAGTGACCAGTGCTACAGAGGGCTTGCACTGGCCAATTGTTCTGAATAAATGGGCAGGCATTTTATCTGAGGCACTTCTGGGTTTGTAGCCCAACGCGTAACCCACAACACCACCAGGGCTCCTCCTAATCTGCTCCTCTTAATCAGAGCTCCTATTTTACTAGAATCCTAAGGAAGGATTCTCTCTTAAATCCAGAGTAGGGAAATCATAGATACCCATTATACAGACCCATCCGTCAGTGTTCGTCAGGGTTCTTTCTTTGCACTGTCTTTCTGCAAGTCGCTATGAGGATACAGTGACTTTAATTTTAGATGATTTCTTATGTGTTTTGTCCTAGATGATGCTGGAAATCGACTCCGGTTTCAGCTGGAGTTGGAATTTGTGCAGTGTTTAGCCAACCCAAATTACCTTAATTGTAAGTTGTTGAACACCTCCTTAAATTGAGTATGAATAGTAATGAAAAGTGAGTTCTAATATTAATGATCTATGAGAGAATTGCAATTCATAGCATCTTTCTATACATTATAACTCAGTATAATTCGTGCTTTACTGATATTTAACTGAGCTGGCTGGGATTTGTGGGGGCACTTTGGCGCATTGGGTTAAGTGTTGGGACTGCTAACCAAAAGGTCGGGGATTCCAACCTACTAGCCCTTCAGTCAGATGAGGTTACCTGCTCATCTGCTCCTGTAAAGATGACCTGCCTTGGAAACTGCTGAGCCAGTTCTCAGTCCTGTAGGTTCACTACGAGTTGGAATCTGCTGGTAGCAATGGGTTTGGTTTGGGACACTTGTTTTGAATTTAGTGTGTTGGTGATGGGAAAGGTAAAGTGATTAAATTGCTTATATGAGGAGCCACAAACTAATGGCCCAAGGATTGAATTGACCTACAGATTTTTGTTTTGTTTTTGTGCCTTTCAGTTCTTGCCCAAAGAGGTTACTTCAAAGACAAAGCTTTTGTTAATTATCTTAAATACTTACTTTACTGGAAAGAACCAGAATATGCCAAGTATCTAAAGTAAGTTTTATATTTACAATCCTAAATTCATGCACATACTATATTATCCTCCCAAAACACTTACATTTACTAGAGTTCTTAGTTTCACATTAGGGGGTGGGGAGGATACATTGTTTGATTGTCTTTAAAGTTGCCATCACCTTAAGACGGTGTGCCCCCATCTCCAACTGGGATTGTAACAGTCTGTTTTTCCCCTGGCTAACTCTGCTTCCACTCAGTTGCCTTCCCTACCCCAAAACCAACAAAGCAAAACTTTCCTATACAGCAACGGACTTGATCTCTGAAAAAAAAAACCAAGTAAACCAGAATCCGTCACTTTCTTGCTAGCATCTTTCAATGGCATTCCATTATATACAGAATGGGCTAGGTCTGTGTATGATCTGCCCTCATGTTCTCTGACCTCGTTTTGACTCGAAGCAACCCCTCGTCTTTAATACAGCCATCGACTGAGAACGAAATAACACAGGAAGGGAAGGGTACTTGTAGAGGAGGGGCTTGCACAGGATAACCTAAGTCTTACTACTGCTATCTTTTTCTGCTTTAAAAAAACTTTCATACCCATAGACTGTATTTACATAAGTAATTTATTGGTTATCCAGGTTGAACAGTGGACACTTGTTTGAACCACAAGAAGCATATTAGCACAAAATAAACCTTGAACTCATACCTCTGCTTTGCCTAAACCAAGTAGCCAAAAAAAAGCAGTAGTCAAACTTTGTCATTTTTGTTTAAAACCACAAATTTGAGAGGAAAATGGCTCAGTCATTCTTTAATAAGCGAATCATGTTTTTTCATCTCTTATCCACTAACCACTAATTCACATAGCCTGTATCCTCAGGGTACTTGTGACACTTTGCATTCTTATTGATTCGTTATAGCTAATTAACCATTTATTAATTAAAAGAAAACTTTTTAAAAAAAGAAAGTTATTTGAATGGAACCTGTATGTATGCAGACTTAGTTGTGGGAGAAGACATAGGTACCCTCGAGTTCAGTCGCACGTGCAGCAGTGCTGAAGAATGCTCATTTACACTGGTTAGAGGTATCCAGCGAGCAGATGGCACATCACCTCATTCAGGGACAGCCGATTCTATTGTTAGTCAGATGGCATACTTAGGAAGCTCTTCCTTATATTGTGATAAAATAGACCACCATGTAGCTTCAACCTGTTAATTCCAAGTTTCGTCTCTAGATTGTAGGTTCCCAAATGTATTTGACCTACCCCTTTTCAGGAAAAAATTACCACCTCCCTGGCACTTTAAAACCTTTTGTGCTATAGTCCCTAGTCCAGGATAAAGTATAGGCATCTGCTGTTGCAGCCCCCATGGATTTTTTTCCAGCTGCCTCCAGGGGTGGTACTGCCAATTTTGGGAAACACTGATCTACAACAGTGTTTTTCTTAACTACCTGCAGCCATTTCTCAAGTGCCGAGGCTTCCAGACTCCTTTGGGTCCATTTGGTGGATGACACTTGTGCCACGTATTATCCTTGACCCAGTTTTTCTGACAGTTAACATCCTCTGTAACCACAGTAGAATTATCAAAGTCACTAACATTGACACAGTACTATCACCGAATCTACAGATGTAATTCATGTCCTGTCAGGTGTCCCGCTAGTGCCCTAAATCAAACACAATATTGGGCCCCAGGTGCTTTTTACATTTCGTTGTCATGGCTCTGTAGTCCCCTTAAAGGCGGTCCTCCGTGTCTTGTCTTTCAAGATGCTGACATAGTAATGAAGTTCCTCTGTCTGTTCCTGGTCTATCACCAGTCACGTGAAGTTTGACTCCTTACTGTGGTGATGTGACCTTTGATCACTTACAGTACTGGTTGTCGATTTCTGCACTGTCAACTTACTGGTTTTCCTTTTTATTTAATAAGTTAGGGAGTGCCTACTAATGTTAGCCTCTTTTGGGGATTCCTGCCCTAAGCCTGTGGTTCTTTTCTAATGGCTTCATTCCTCTCACCTGTATCAGCCCGGGTTCTTTTATAGGGAAGAGCATTCCACTGTCCCTGATTTGTTTATTCATGTAATGGATTTTTATGGCCTCTTGGGCTCATATCTTACAGCTTCTGATTATGCATTTTCTTAATTGCTCACTGTAGCAGTGTCATTGCTTCTATCCTCCTTGGCACACAAAATGAGGAAATAGAGGGACACGGATGGACACACACCACCACCACCCTTGTATTTCCCGCTGTAGATATTAGCAGCCATGCGTTCATACTGATTTTATTCATTCCAGCCCAATGACAAAAGATTTAGTCTAGCCTTTCAAAACCCTTTCCTGATGTCTCGTTTCTGTTCTCACAGTCTAGCCCTTTATCCACAGGACGCTTCCTTGCTCAGCCCTAGAGTATACATGTCAGATGTGCTCCATCCCTGTGGGAAACTTGAGTGTAACCTTTGTACATAGCCATAGCTCTTGGGAATTGATTCACTTTAAAATTAGAAGTTCTCTTTTTATTACCACTGGTGAAAACCCAATACTTAGCAATTAACACATACTTGCTAAAGTAAAGGAGCCCTAGTGGCACATTGAGTTGCTGACAGGTCAGCAGTTTTGAACCCATCAGCTGCTTCGTGGGAGAAAGATGAGGCTGTTACTGCTACTCTGATGAGTCACAGAAACCCACAGGCATGCTCCTCCGTCCTATGGGGTCGCTGTGATTGGGAATCTGCTGATGGCAGTAGGGTGCAAAATTAAAAACATTCACGTTCCTCACTTTGGAAACCGTTAGAATATGATTTGGCCCCAAACGTTCACTCTGTTCATGGTATTATGTGGACTTGGGTAAGTTATTTGCTCTCTGTGGATATACATTGTATCACTTTTGAAACTTCTGCTTAATTTGGACGTTTTAATGGCTAGCTTCATAAGGGGGAGTGGGGCTGGGCGGTGCAGTGCTGGAACTAGTGCCAAGTTAATGTTAATAGAAGTGGTAGGCCACAATTTAAGGCCATCATCTTAAGTGAGTGAGAGGCTGGCGTTACTGACTTGCGTTGTACTGTCATTAACTTGTAAACTTAAACCCAGGTATCCTCAGTGTTTGCACATGCTGGAACTGCTCCAGTATGAACACTTCCGTAAGGAGCTGGTGAATGCGCAGTGTGCGAAATTTATTGACGAGCAGCAGATTCTGCACTGGCAGCACTACTCCCGGAAGCGGATGCGTCTGCAGCAAGCCCTGGCAGAGCAGCAACAGCAAAATAATGCATCTGGAAAATGAGCTGCGGACAGAGAGCAGGCTCTTCAGACATGTACATCATGTGTTTCTTTGTACAGTGAAGGCAGACAGACTCTCTCTCTTCACCATTATTGTTGTGGCCCCCGACTCCTTTAGTGTGCTATTTATATTTAAATCCAACTGACTTTTTGTTAATAAGATGTTTTGTGCAACCACAGTAGTTCCACCTTGTTCCCTGTCATTGTTACGTTTTCACTAACTTTAACAGTCAATTGAGAACGGAAACCTTAGATGCATTTTAACGGTGGCACTGGTCAGTCTCCTGGGAGCCTTGTATCTACGATGACTGGAAGGGTGCTGTCAGCGACCTCTTAAAATTGTCCAGCAGGAACTGTGTACAAATCTTACTGTTTATACAGTGACACAGCTATATTACCACTTACTTTGCAAGGTAGCTTGAAGGAAGAGCCACTGGCATACTGCTGACCTAGCGGTAGCAGGGAGAAGTCTACTAAATGGACTTTTGACCTTGGCCTAGAACAGAGACGTGGAGCCTCAATCAAGTCTGTGTGCTCATTCGGGAAGCTAACGTTTGTTTGGCAGTTGCCACAGACCAGGCATTAAATGCTGCCTTAGGTGCTTCCTTTTGAACTTACAGATGGGTGGCATAGTGGTGATGCATTAGGCTAACTGCAAGGTAGCAGTTTATAACCACCAGCTGCTGCTCTGGAGACAGACCAGGCTTTCTATTTCAGTAAAGGTAGTCATGGGAACCCACTGGGGCAGTTCGAACCTGTCCTATAGGGTCACTATGAGAATTGATTCGATGGCAGTGCGTTTGCTTTGGATTTTTTGGGTTCCTAATCTCAGAATGATCCTACTTTATAGAAGGGAAATGGAGGTTAGTAAGTCACTTGTCGCAGGGTACACAACTGGTAAGTGGTAGAATTCTTGTGGCTGACTTACATTGGGTCAGTCTCTGCAAGGTCCCTCTGCTGGCACCTCACGCAAGCATGGTCAGACAAGCAAAGCAGACTGCCCACATTCAGCAGAGGCTGCTTCAGAAGTCCTGTCTTCCTTCAGCGACTAAATCCCATTCAAAAGCCAAAGAAGGGGGTTTGGTATTGAATATCAGTTGATTTGCAAATTCATGGAATTGGAGGAAGAGACCCGAGTTTCTTCAGACAGGACGCTGCCTGCTTTGTGGTATTTAGGGCTTTTAGGTGGTGGTCTCACTTCGAGTACTAGGTTCAACCCCTGAAGACTTAACTTTATTCATATCTTAAAGACACCCATGTATTGCAGATGGAGGGTGATATGAGCATTTTATTTTTCATTTCTGCATCTTAGTTTTTCAACAATTTTATTGGCACATAATTTATATATTACACAATAGTTGTATTGTTCAATCTTATCAAGGGGCATTGGACAGTTATTACCACATCAATATTAGAGTATGCGGTGTGCAATCACTATCTGTTCTAGTGCTCCTTCCTCCTCCCACCTTCATCATTTACACCCGAAATCCCCTTCCCTCTCTATCCCCCACCCCCTACCTCATGAGCATTTTAGTAGTACACTTTTGTTTAGACATACACCAACTTTCTTTAACATGTTATTTACTTAAGAAACAAGCACCCCATTTCTAAAGCAAAGTTAAAAATCAAGATCCAATTTCTCAAATCTATTCTTCAGAGAATATCATCTCCACGAGGCTGGCCTGAAGACACTCAGATTCTACCAGTTTTTGAGGCTGTAAGAGAAGAACAGTTAAATCTCAATGCACTGCGAACTGTGGAGAGTGAATTGCATTCTTCTGTAAGTGACACACATCTCTGAGCACAAAATTGCCATTCACAAACTACTGACTGGTTGCAACAAGTCTTAGGAAATGTTTAAAATACTCACCTCAAGGTGAATCATTAAAATACTTGGCTCAACTTGAACCTAAGATACCAGGCTGCTCCACACAAAACAAGACACAACGTGTCCAGTGCCAGTCCCTTCTCCTCAACTCTCAAGAACTCCAGGGCATGACTGAACTTTACTTTCCATCAGAATATGCAGGAAATGAAAATCTGATGCTAATGATTGAAGGGCTTATGAGTTCATCGATTTCTGTGCAGACTACAATTCTGCTGTTTTTAAGGATGGCATTTTAGAAAAGAAAAGGAAACGTCCTCGTCCTCCTATTTACTGGGATTGGCTATCGGGATGGACAGCAAAGGAGGGAGGTTGTGAGGTCCGAGTGCACACAGGGCAGCAGAATGTCTTTGGGCTGGAAAAGTACCCAACAGTTATGACGGGCTTTTGATAGTGATACAAACAATTACAGCACCCACACATATACAGAAATATACTCACTTTTCCATACTTAAGTAGTGTTGGCACTGCAGTTACTTTCAACTGTTTTCTGAAGTCATTATTTGGATCTTTCCAACTATTCCAAAAAGAAAATGATGAAAAACATTTCGTTGGTTTGTTTGCTGGATTTAGTCTCGTAATAACCACTGTTCTTGTTGTAAACATTTAAAAAACCTTGGGGACTAGATAATTTATGCCCTGCAAAGTTTTCATTAAAGTGGAACAGAGATAAAAAATAAATGCAAAGAAAACTAAGTTCTGAACTTGGCACCAGGTCCCATAAATTACCTGAAAGTTTGCATTCATAATTTGGATTTTAATAACTCCTTGTCTCCCGTTAAATGACTACACAATCCCTAACCTGATTTTAGAGCCCCCCTCAGGCTTCATGTCTGTGAAGTGTACTAATAGCCACTTACTAAGGTCTTTCTCCTACTTGGCAGTAGATGAACACACATCCTTCACCAATATGCTTCAGGCCATCTAGAACAACTGGTTCAGCTTTAAAAAAGAAAAAAAAAAAAGATTACACATCAACTAGAGATAGGCACTCCCTCCTCCCAATCTCGGTAGGGACTCAAACTGTAACCGGAAGTGTGAAGGTCAGCCTAAATCAGGGACTCTCTTCTGGTCTTAAACTAAGTGAATAAGGACCGAGTCCGGGGCCCAAACACGTGCTGACCTGTTACAAGAGGGCCGACTTACATCTATCTCCCACAAGACACTAATCATGGGGGAACTGAAAAAAGGCTTGGGACTAGATTCCGAGTCCGAGCTGGAGTGAATGGTTGAGTGGTTAAAAAGCAGAAGTTCCTGGAGGGGCGGCGGGGAAGAGCTCCACAGGAGGCATGAAGGAAAGACGGTGGAGATGCTGGTTCAGATCCCTCCCGTGGATCTCTGGGACCACGATTCCCCAGCTTTCTAGACCTGACTCGGCGGTTGTGGCTACAGTCTACCAGCCCTTAGACTAGCGGCAACCCCCCCAATCCCAGCCTCACCCAGCTCGCAGTCCGGGCACCAGCTTTTCCCTTCGGCGTCCTTAGATCCCGTAAAGTAGGCGAAAATGGTCTTGCCCTTGTGCTGCTCTACAGCCTGGTTGAATTCTTGGAAACCAGACACACGCACGTCCACGTAGCGGGCCATCGGGAGAAAGCGCAGCGGGCTGCCAGAGCGCCCTCCGGCTGGCCGACGCGGGGCGGGGCCCACGCGGGGCGGGGCGGGGCGAGGGTGTTTCCGGATAGGCTGGGAGGACGGCAGGGCGGCTACGGGAGCCCCTGGAGGCCATAACTCATCCGCATCTTTCTGCTCTCGCTTCAAGGAGCCCTCGGTGCCGGTTCCACTCCCAGTCTTTCGCTTTCTCTAAACCCAGGCTGCCCTAGCTTCGTCTCGGCTCTGGCCCCATGTGCACTGGCTGCAACACCTGCTGCCTGACAAACACCTGGACCCTTGGGTGGCTCAGGAACCTTATCAACTCCCAAGCCGCCCTGCGCCTGTTGCTATAGCGACTGGGCGAGCGGCCGGAAGCTAGGCCTAGTAGGGGGCTCCTACCCGCCTCCCGGTAGCCGCGCCTCACCCCCTGCCAGGTGGGCTCGGGCCAGAGCTGGGGGGATTCTGGGAAGCTGCGTTAGGAGTCACGGACTTGGGGGAGACCTTGATCCGGGGCGGACCTTGCCGCTTCACGTCCCACAACTCCTTTTCGCCCTGCTTCGTGTTCTGGGGGCCTGGG